TAAAATTGTACCACCACATAATGTGAAGGTCCAGTATGCATGGTAGTTAGCCCTGATGTTCATTTACTGCAGATATAAGTCCAATGTTGCAAAGCTATTACACGAAAGTTATCATGCTGCATGGAATCACAAAATATTATTCCTTGCACTTATCTGAATGTTTACTACATCAAAACCATGTAAAATCAAGCTGCAGCTCTTAACTGGACCTATATCATGTAATATACAAATTTTATTATGTTCTGTTTGAGCTCCATATGAAGTACTAAATGGACAAGAATAAAACTCACATGACAACTTCTAATGTCAATAGCAATGCAAAATTTCACTGGAATTTCAATGATCTGGTGTAGATCACATATTTATTTTCTGCCAAGGCCATAATTTCAGTATATGCTCTACCTCATATCAGTACCTGATTATGAAATGTTTTAAGGTGGCTACTCAATTACTATCAGAGATCATGAATTAGCTTACAGAAGGGTAGACCAACAGAGATGGGTAGCTTCTAATGCCCTCCTGACGACAAAGCATCCAGTCATCTTCGCAGTTAACAGCACCCATTCTAATCACACCTTCTAGATCACGAGCCAATCGGCGCCATGTTGGTGCTAGGTCATGGCAATGTGAACACATAGGAGAGTAGAAGTTGATGAACCACAGTGAGTGTGAGTTGAGAACACTTTGATCTGTAACACAAAATTGTATTTTAATAATTACAGGCTGGGTGAAAAATAGCTACAGAAGAGTACATATTGGTTCCAAAATGATGTGGCTGCATTCAGCATTCAAGTCAGCAACCAACAGTGGTCTACTAAGCAATAATCAATTTAGCTTCCAAGATATCATAGTCAAGGTCAATCATGTATCAGAAAGCAGTGTAACATTTATTCTTATTTGCAGTATTGTCCCATCATTTGTAACCATTTAGGCTCTTAAGATGTTCTTCCACTTGTTACTTCACTGCATTCTCCTCTTTTTTCCTCTTCTCTCATCAATGAACTAAACTGACTTGCTGACTCATTAACGGACTGCACTGACTGACTCACAACTCACAGCCATCACTACTTCATGTTTGTTTCTGCAATGAACTAGGCTCCGTCAAGAATTTCACAGCTAGCTCATAGTCATGGCCACCCTTTAGGAAATTTCTAGCAACAGCTGAGTGACATCAGCCTTTGGCATGCGTGGAGTAGTTTTCCAAAACATGGGGCACGTGGTAGCATAGTTGGTTGAGGCACTATGTTACAAGCCGGAAGGTTGTGGGATCAAATCCCGATGAGGTCACTGGATTTTTTTTTTCAATTTACCTAATCCTTCTAGCAGCACTATGGCCCTGCAGTTGACTCAGCCTCTAACAGAAATGAGTATGAGGAATATTCTTGGGGGTAAAGGGCGGTCGGCACGTAGGGCTGACAACCTTACTGCCATCTATGAGCTGATGGTCTAGAAAATGTGGGAACCTCAACATCTCACAACCCTATGGGCCTCCAAGGCCTGTTACAGGGATACCTTTACTTTACTTTACTTTACTTTCTTTCTTTCTTTCTTTTTTTTATCACAAGGAACTAAGAGGGGTCATCTTGATCAAACAAGACACATTCACAGGCCAGGCAATGCAATGCCCCCAGGTTCAGCTAACATGACCGTATGTGCCATGTTTTTATACTAACTTTTTATTATAAAAATAGCTGATGCAAGTCAATTTGAGGCAGTCAGCAAGATAAAACAGAAGTAATGAAACAGACTCCATTCAGTGACGGTATAATATGTCAAATTACAGTATTCAATTGAGACAGAGATGCGCTGCTTTTGGCAGCATAGCAGTAGTTCACTGTGACCACACAGGCAACAGCAGTGCTCAGTCTCATACCAGTCTCTACTTACACACAAAGTTATAACTGAGTCTTACCGGGTGACTCAACTTGCCACATTTTATAATACTGTTGGAAGTAATCCCCTTATGCTATCAAGCATGCCTCATACTGCGTAAATAAGTTTTGCAATGTTCTTTTAAGTTCAACGTCAGAAACTGAAGCAATCATAGGCATTGAAGAGTTCTATCTACTGGGATGTTATGGTGTGTAGTCCACTGAAAGCAAACTGATGTTTCAGAGAAACATGCTGCCTCCATCTTCAGTGTTGAAGAATAAGCCAAGCAAGAAGATAGCATGAAGCAGGAAACAAGCACAGGTCGTTGCTCCATTCCCTGAAGAGCTTCGGCACTGCGAAGGTTATTTCTGTACACTCTTCCTTTCTAGTTACCCCACAGATAATAACCACAGTATTATTATTATTATTATTGGAGGGGGTGGGTTTCCTCATGCACCGCGACTAGTAGTCTATTGTACGTCCCCCTTTGATGTTCTACCAGTCTCTATACCCTACCGGTACTGGTGCGTGCCATCAGCCCTGACTTAGCCAGCGAGTTCAGCCTCTACTGGCTCAGCGGTACCTGATGCTTCCCCCATCTACCAGAGGCGTTAGAGACTCTTGTTGGGTGGTAAATGTCCGATAATTTGGCTCAGAGGCCATAACCACAGTAAGATCAGAGGATCTATCAGGCCAGAACTGTCTGCTGATTATTCTGTTCTCAAACAATTTTGTACAGCAGCCATGAACTTGTCAGCAGTATGTGTTGTAACACTATTCGTCCATCCATCTATGGCTCTACAACGCATTTTCAGTTTCTTAATCCATACGCAGTCAGTAAGACTCCTTGGATGGGGGATCAGCCAATGAAAGGCCACTACCTACACACTACAACACAAACACAGAATAAACGCACAGACATCCATGCCTCCAGCAGGATTCAAACCCACGATCCCCATCTTTGAATGGGTGAAGACATTTCAAGCCTTAGACCACATGGCCACTGTTAACACTAACTTACTTGAAATATCCATATTGTCTTTTTGCAGCTGTTAATTGGTTGAAGAATGGATTCAATACATTGCACAAATATCAATCTGAATTTATAATTTTCTGAAAGAATATCAGGCCAATGATTTTCTATGCACTTACAACACAACACACCTCTACCCTTGCACTGCCTAATAAAACCTGTTGAATTGACATGAGGATTTTCTTCATTCCACATTCATATATTTCACATATTGACATGACCACTATGGTAAAACCACGCCTCATCAGTTATGAACAACACTATGAATCCATGACTCTGCCAGACACACTTTGCAACACCAGTTACAACAGTGAATTTTTGCTGCATAATCTGGTTGTTCAAGCTCATGCACAACTGTAACTTTATATAGGTCTTAATTAGTTCTGTGGGTACAAATGCAGCTCCCAGTTATATCTCAATAAACAACCAACTAAAGAAAATATTTCTGAGTACTAACATCCAACTATGCCTGTCTTGAAGTTTTCTTCAGCTAGCACAATCCTTGTGGATTGATCCCTTTTATCACAAACAGAATCAGCAATGTATCACACTTTGACACACTTAGACACACATAAACTTATTCATGTGGGTAGGCCGTGTCATAGCTCAAGCGGTTAGTCACTGGCTTCCAACTGCGGTGGCCCGGGTTCAAACCTGGGTCTGGTCAAGTGGGATTTGTGGTGGACAAAGTGGCGCTGGGGTAGGTTTTCTCAGAGTACTTTGGTTTCCCCTGCCAATCTTCATTCCACCAAATTCTCCATCATCATAATCACCTGGGGCAGGTACAATAGGCCAATCAGTGGCCACCATGCCGAGTGGACCCAACTGGACTCCACCCCCACTATGCAAATTCTTTTAATCATGTGGGTATTTATGAATAAACCCCTAAATGCATTTTCTTTCTTACAAAGGATTAGTCAATGAAAAAACTGTCCGATCGCGTACCTCATGAAAGGAGTAATGAATTCAGACCTGAACAGAACCTTTCATCACTACTGTATCAATCGTAAGATGTTTCTTTACTGCATTAATGGCTCATCGTCACATTGGGAAGTATATACGGGTTGCAGCTGAAACATACGTTCTGTTCATAGTGTTGTTACACTTCCTTCTCATTTGAATTCTGTATGAAGGGGGACCCAAAAATAACCGGAACCGACCTGTTGCACGCGCATGCTTTGTAGTTACGAGTTGTGCTGCTAGGTGGTGTTAGCTGGGGGTCTCCCGCGACTGTTAGTGAGCTGGCGTCAGTCTGAGTTAAGTGGTTTGTCTGTGGTGCTCTGTTGTGTGCATTCCTGTTTCAACCCTTTGGCGATTAGTGAGATGGCCGACCAGAAGGAACAAAGAGTGTGCGTGAACTTTTGCTTTCTGTTAGGGAAAACTGCAGCCGAGACTGTTGGGATGCTTCGGCAAGCCTTTAATGATGATGCTTTGGGGAAATCACAGGTCTACGAGTGGTTTTCCCGTTTCAAATCTGGCAACATGTCAACAGAAGACATGCCACGCCCCGGGCGTCCTTCGACAGGAAGAAATGACGAAAACATTGCCAAAATCAAACGTGCAATTGATGAAGATCGTCGAAAGACCATTGACCAACTTTCTGATGAAACGAACATCTCATGGAGCACGGTCCAGCGAATTTTAACCGAAGGTTTGCACATGAGACGGGTGTCTGCAAAATTTGTTCCTCGCTTGCTCGGAGATGACCAAAGAGAAAACCGCGGAATGTTTGCCGCGACTTGAAGAGTGAAGTGCAGAATGATCCAGAATTTCTTAAAAGAATTGTGACTGGCAATGAGTCTTGGTGCTACGGGTACGATCCAGAATCAAAGCAATCATCAAGCCAGTGGAAAACTCCAACTTCACCACGACCGAAGAAAGTGCGTCAAGTGCGATCCAATGTGAAAACAATGTTGATTTGTTTTTTCGATGTGAATGGCATTGTCCACAAAGAGTTCGATTTTGCAGTTCAATAAAAATGCAAAAATAAAAAATAACAAAAATAAATTCCGGTTATTTTGGGTCCCCCCTCGTATACTATTGAAACTAGACAGTACAAGAATCAGTCATTGACAGCTATTAGAACTTGGGAAGCCAGTGGTTCTGCTTAGGATTATAAGAGGTGGTGAAATAATGTAATTTGTGGAAAAGTCATCTAACCTATACCCACAAGTACTCATAGGGTGAATAATTAAGCCAATTGTGGTAACACTTACCAAAATCAGCCTTGTTAAGTGTGACAATCTCTGGATCATCATCATAAATACCAAAATTGTCACGGTAATAACTCCATGAATGGTAACTCTGCTTCTGTGAAGATTTGATACCTTCCTCTCCATAAAGATCATATTTTTTACGAGATTCAGCGTCTTTTAACACCTCATATGCCTTTGTGAGATGCACAAATTTTGCGTGTGCATCTGGATCAGCCTGCAGTGTTACACAACAATTTATTCAACAGTCATCTGATGTTTCACCACATGAACTAGCTTGTATACTCTCATACCTACTGCCAGTGCCTAAAGCAAAATGGGATGTCATTCTTAACCTTTACAGCCACTACTTTTACAGAAGTATGAAAATATCCTATCACACTGTGTTCTTTTACATTGTATACTCATGTTTAATGCAAAACACTATCACATAATGCATATTCTTTCCAAACAACACTATACACAATATGTGAAACTATACGTTTATATAAAGTAAGATTTATGAGGTCAATTTATCTTATCAAGGTCCAGTTAATCAATTCTGAAATGCCACCAACCACTATTTTCATAGAAATCATTGAAAGTCAGAGGTAACCTCCTTTAATTCAATTTGGTTTGGTGGTGGTGATGTTTACATGTTTGAGTCAAATTACTACAATTACTTTTTGTTTATGATGATTAAACTCATCATCAAATGGTTTTGTGAAAAAGTCTGCAGAAATAGTGATAACATATTTATCCTCTTTATATATTATCTACCACTACATATCTGCTAAATAACCTGATCTGTCACTGGATACGGATTTGCTGAAGAAATATAAAAATCACTTATTTGAATAAACTTTCCTAGAACACATAATACACTAACCATACTGAACTGTCTTTGATATATCGCCTGTTACACTAAGGAAGGTTTCAAGTAGTGAGTTCTGACTCTCAAAAATTGCCACAATATTTGCATTTGGAATGGCTTCCCAAGGACTGCATCCCAATAAAAACAAACCTGATTTTTGTCTGGGTGCATTGTAACAGCCAATCTCTTAAATGCTTTTCTTATTTCCCTGTTGTTTGCATTTTTTGGAACACCCAATAATTGATAATAGTCTTCTCCTACAGAAAATTGGATGCAATGCATCACTGCGACCAGGAGAATGTTGAAAAATAACCTGAAATGAACATTTTTGGTTAGAAGAAAACCAAAGTATCCGCAGAACTTTATATACATTTATAGAAATAAATCAACCAAACGTACATGTTAAATAGTATAAAATATTTGCTGCCTAAGACAAACAAATCACAATATGTTAACTTAACCACTGAAATCTATCAGACATGTCAATTTCTGGAAACCGTACACGTTACTCCACTGGATGGTGGGACACATTAGACCTAGCCGGCACGAAGGCTTTAATTCTGCCATCTATACGCACCTGTAAGTGTATCGATCCTCATTGGCCGCCGCCATCGCCGAGAGCACAATCGGTAAGAAGGTAGACTATCATAACTCCGGCTTACGCATGTTGCTCCCCCCCCCCGAATCGCTCGTTGGCTTGCTGTATGAATTATCTAAATTAAAAACTTCCACCAGTCCATCCAAGGTCATTGGCCCTTTTTTCATCAGAGAAAATCCTGAGTCTTGGTTGAAGGTGTAATATCTATGCCTAGGGATGCCACAAGGTTCCATCCTGTCCCCAACATTGTGAAATACATATAAATAATATTCTACAAACACTTGGCGATACCTGGCTCTCTTTGCCGGTGACATCTACTTCCAATTCAAAGGAGAGAGTTTAAGCGCCAACATTATACTAACCTTGCATAAAGCAGTGATCAAATCAGTAATGACTTTTGCTTAGCACCGCCTGGAAATTATGGGCAGACTCCTACCTCTTAAAACCGCAGCACCTGCAAAACAATGTTCTCCATACCACTGGAAATTATCCAAGATGCACAAGGTCCGTGATTTGCACATGGCTTTCAACTTACCGTGTAGATTATGTAAGAAAATTGTGCATGCAACAGGCAGAAGTCATACAAAACCATGGGATTGTCCATCTTCACAGCATAGGACAAGTCAAAGCCAGACACAGAAAATATAAACAAGAGTCTTGAACTTTGCAGCAGTCAAGCTTACGGGTGTTCAAGCAACTAAGCTGCCATTGTAGCATGAGATAAGCACGAGAGGCATGACGATCTTTCTAAAGCCTGGACTTGCAGAAGACTTGTATACAATGCAAAAGGAAGAATTTTCAAAAACTTGCTATATGTGCAGTAGATCACAGCCATCCTGTCTAGACATAATTTCTAAAAAGGCATAGAAAAACATGTGCAAAAATAGTCAAATTCCATAAAGGACATGACTCCTGAGCTACTGCTGTAATTCATGTTTCTATCTGAGGGTTAAAAGCCATTAAGTGTTAGAACTTCAGATAAATTGTAAAACTTGTCTCATTTTATTTACTTGTCCGTTTTCTTGAATATCTTACACTTTACTTAACTAACATACAAATTACTTATATGCAGATTTATAAAACAAATTACTTAAAACCCACAGAGAAATAATGAGTTTCAAAAAATGTAAATGGAATCGAACAGTTTATTTTAGCTTTATTTATTTTATATGAATGTGATGAGAAACAACAGCCACAGTACTTTCTTCTTTTGCAGAAAAATTCTTGCAAACAGAAGTATGAAGTCAGTAGAACAGAAAATCTGGTAAATAGTGGGTCTGGAACAGGGTCCACTCAGCCTCGTGAGGATAATTGAGGAGCTATTTCAAGGAAATAGAGGCTCTAGTCTAGAAAACCGAGCTTAACAGCCATGGGGATCCGTTGTGCCGACCATGTCACACCCTCTATCCACAAAAGTTGGCACTAACTTTGCCGACAAAAGGTGGTTGCCGGTCAGTATAGTTCGCTTGCGGACCACAGGCCAGGGAGCCTTNGGAACAACTTAGCTGTACCTGATGGTTTTCATATATGACTGACCTATGATACAGTGGTAAGATTCAAATAATAAAATATGCAGGGCTGCTACTTTTTGGACTCCTTTCTATTACTGGGACATACTGTATTTCAGTAACTACACACAAATATTTCTGTAAGTTTATATTTAGACCATGAAAAAACTTTTAACATGGCACTTTATCTCATGACACAAATAACCTTGTTATATGTCATTTCTTCTTTTTTATCATCCCCCTCTTTCTTCTGTGTATGTGTCGATTTTTCAAATGACTTGACTGGAAGGTTTTCATAGTAACCCTGGACGAACTTGGCTGGTCTTGGTCCTTGCTTTCTAGTGATAAAGATTCAATCATGTCATCAGCCATCTCCACTGAAGTGCTTCCTCCACCACCTTCCCTTCTCTCTTCCAATTTTATAGCACCTACAAGCTTCCGGTCTGCAAACCTGTTCTGAACTGAAATAATAAAAATTTTAAGCAACTCCACTTGTGTGAAAGATGGTCTCATCATTCAAGAGAATGTTACTGAGGTGCCTCACGTTTGCACCAGTCTGTTCCAACATAATACACAACAGACCTATTGAGGTCTCCTTGTTTGGATTTATTTGTACAGCAGCAGGAATGTTTGTGTTACTGCGTAGTTCGCAAGTATGTTGGTGGAGTTATCATCTGCAATATGTAAAGAACATATTACTATTATTGTTAATTTTGCTATATTTTATGTTTTTCTACATTAGTTTACTTCTTTATACCATGTCTGCCCCTTTGACTGTAGGTTCTTCACCTTGCCTGAATAGTAGTGTTGTTTATCCTTCTGTGTATGTAGAGCTTATGAATGTTTGGTGTGCCTAATCCCCCATTTATAATGTTATTTGGGGTGTGTGTGTTGTTATCTTGTGTAAAGTTCATGTAATGTCTTGAATATGTGGTTGTGTTTGCTGCTATCTTGTGTACAAACGATAGCAGCACATACACCCCCAATGACATTATAAATGTGGGATTAGACACACCATGCATTGATAAGTTCTACACACACAGAAGGATAAACAACGCTGCTACACAGGCAGGGTGAAGAACTTAAAGTCAAAGGGGCATAAGTGAGTATAAAGAAGTAAACTTATGTAGAAAAACATAAAATACAGCAAAATTAACAATAGTAGTAATATGTTCTTTACATACTGCAGATGATAACTCCATCAACAAACTTGGGAACTACATAATAACACACAAAACACCCATGCCACTGTGCAAATAAATCCAAACAAGACAAGCCCTCAAACAATGTCACTTGGATAAATGGATGACAACACCCAGCAAAATACTGAAATTCTAACAAAATTGTAACTAGTTTTTCTTTGTAATTAAAGTCCATTTATATTAAATTAAGAGATATGACATTCATATGTGATATGAGAAACTGGACATAACATGGAGTGCAACAGTTTTAGTGAATTAGAGACGTCTGATGATGGTTGTGTTCAGCCGAAACATGTTGTGAGAATGAAAGGGGACAAAAATAGGTTGCATTGTAGACGGGAATATATTGTAATGAAATAAATGACACAATATGTTACACAAGAAAGAAGCCAACTATTACAAACAAAGATACAGATTCTCTGCAGGCATTCTCATGCCTCTTTCCAGTGCTAGGCCACATACAGATTCCACAATTACTGACAAAGCAAATTTACGATGGCAGTGTGTGGCAAGCAACACTTGCTGGATTAACACTATTCCATTGGTACTGAGGGCAAGACAAGAGGATGAACCTGATCACTCATTTGGTGCTCAGGTTTAGAGGTCTTGCAACTTGTCCCCATGCACAGGCGATAACTCTAGCCTGTCTGAAGTTTCATTCCTCATGGACGTAAAGTCATGGGAACCATAACACATACACAATTTCTTACCTGCAGAAATATCCATGATATCAACTACAGTGAAATTGTGCTTTTTGTTCTCTCCACCAATACAAACAGTGAAGGGCAAATCTGGACAGGCATCCAGACACAAAAGAGCACCCAGTTTCTGTTGCTGGTCATATACCAGAGAAGGCTTCCCGCCCAAGATGTCCCATGTTCTCAGCTTTGCATCTCCACCTGCAGTCATCAGCATTCCTGGACACTGGGAACTCAGAGCTAGACCTTAGGATGGAGTTAAAGAGTTTGTTGTTAAGTTAATCTCATACATCCCTTAACTACTTAACTAAATAACTAAATACATGGAGCAAAGTCCATCTTGTGAAAGGAGCAGTTGCTCAGCTATCATACATTCATAATAATCTGGCAACAATGAATTTTGGTTATTGTCAGATTTCTTTGTGGTCAATACCTGTTACTTCCTTAGTGTGGGCACTAAGTTCCCAAAGAGATGTATCACTGCGGCAGTCAATGTAGTGAATGCTTCCAGAATTAGTACCGACCTAAAAAGACGAAATTAATTATATAAACACTGGATATGATACAGAAGTAAATCTAAATATTTTCATGTATTTGGTGACCAGACACTGGGTATGGATTGGTAACTGGACTTACTGAACACCTACAAATTGTAACTACAAGTGATTACAGCACTCTCGTTAATTTACGCACTTTACAATTCCCTACAACACACACTAAGTCTTCTTAGTTTATCTATCATAGCTGCTGTTTGGTAACCCATCCCAATGAAGTCCTCTTCCTCTCATGTCATTACTGTCTCACACCTAACTAGCAGTTTACTAAACCAATGGAAAACGTATCTGTTGCTGTGGCAGCGTGATTTAGTTGCCATGTGAATCTACTGGGTCAGAATATAGATACTACAAAGAAAAGCACTCACTCACTCATGGATCTGAGCCCTTCTTGAGAAGCTGCCTATTATACAGATAAAGAAAAACATACAAACTTTAATGACACTAGTAAGGAGGTTGGTCTAGAAGTAAACACAGAGAAAATTAAGTATATGTTGCTGTCTCATTGTCAGAATGCATGGCAAAATCATAACATAAAGATAGCTAACAGATGTTTTCAAAATGTGGCACAGTTCAGATATTTGGTAACAACTATAACAAATCAAAACCTGGTTCAGGAGGAAATTAAGAGAAGACTGAATTCAGGTAATGCTTGTTACCCTTCAGTCCAGAACCCTTTGTCTTCTTGTCTACTGTCTAATAACATAGACATCAGACTGTACAGAACTATAATTTTGCCTATGATCCTGTATGGGTGTGAAACTGTCTCTGGCATTAAGGGACGAACATAGACTGAGGGCGTTTGAGAACAGGGTGCTGAGGATATTTGGACCAAAAAGAAGCAAAGTGATGGGAAGCTGGAGAAAACTACATAATAAGTAGCTTCATAACTTGTACTCTTCACCAAATATAATTAGAATGACAAAGTCAGGGAGGATGAGATGTAGGGCATGTAGCTCAAATGGGGGTGAAGAGGAATGCATACATGATACTGGTGGGAAAGCCAGAAGGAAAGAACCACTGGGAAGACCAAGGAGTAGGTGGGTGGACGATATTAAAATGGATCTTAGAGAGAGAGAGGATGGGATGGTATGGACTGGATCAATCTGGCTCATAATAGAGACCAGTGGAAGACTCTTGTGAACAAGGTAATGAACCTTCGGGTTACATAAAATGCTGGTAATTTCTTGAGAAGCTGTACAATTGGTGGCTTCTCAAGAAGGGCTCAGCTCCATGAGTGGTCATCACTATGTTCCCAAACAACTTTTACATTGCCACCCAACAGAAAGATGTAATCCTGGTAGGCCACGAAGATGGCTTGATGTTTGAGAACGGAATGGGTTAACAAGATCAACTCTTGCAGATGATGATGATGTTTACAACCATTACCACCGCTGCTGCTGACAATGCTATCACCATCATTATTATTATTTTATAATCTCTTATACCCATCCATAGCTAATAGACTGCTACAAGTACTCCTCAAACAAGTCTCTCTGTACTCTTCCATAATGCTCAATATTATGGACACCATACATTTTGACTATCCGAGTTCTGACGTGATTTTGAAAGCTGGCAAAATTCAATGTATACTTACAAGAAAGTTGAACGGATTGAAATGGTCCCACAGGACACATTCCACCTCTCCATTTACTGCCCAGTCTCTATGTGAATCTTCCACACGACAGTCAAACACACGAGTCAATCTGAAACCATTTCATAACTGGGTTCTAAACAGTATAAACACATGTCAACTGAGGACCAATGCTCATGGTGTAGAAGAATGTTATGATTATTTAAAATATGGATTAGTGGTGTGCAAATATCAAATTCTCCAAATGAAATTCCTATTCTAATTCATATCAGGCTTCAAAGTTCCAATAGAACTTCAAATGTTCAGTCTATTTATTATCATCCACCAAGATCAGCATGATTTACAAAATATGAGAGTCCCAGTGGTATCAATACAGACTTAACATTGTCCCAACTTCAGAACTTAACCTTTAACGGCCGAATGTTATAATTATTCGCATCAAGTAGCAAGCTGAGCTGGCCAAATGTTATAATTTTTAGGGGCAAGCCACGTGCTTCCTTTGTGAGTGCTGGCAGTTTGACCTTGGGTTTGAAACCCAAACAAACTCTTGAACTTCATGTCAGACGTTTATTTGTTAGCTCTGAACAACGAAATCGTTTATCAGGGTACTGGTTTCGAAACTATTTACGTTTAGATATGACTGTTTATGACCTGGTGAGCCAATAGAGGTCAGCTTTGTTTTGAGAAGTTAGAGGAGGAAATATTCGTAAGCACTTTCATAGCAGTGCTACCAGAGCTTTCAAGCAAGTGGGGCTCATTCAGGGATTGGTTTGCAGTGTTGAATTCTCAGTCAGGACGTCAGTGGCGGATTTTCTATGTTTTGTTAAAAGTTAGGAAGTCAGTGTCAGACTCCTATATTTCTTTTATATCATTTTTATTGTGTATCTCGGAAGTGGTATTAACCCACTGAGCCAGTGTTACTTTGTGCGTAAAGACATCTTCGTCACTGTGACTTTCGGTATCAGTGGCGGACTGGCACTTTTCGACTGCTATTGCAATTACTTTGCATCACAATTTTGCGAGTATTCTTCCACCTACTAGACATGTCTATTCTCAATGAATATCTGTTACACAAGTCATGTGATGGAAAAATGACGCACAAAAATTTCCGCGAAATTTTGGTGCGTGATTTGATTCTTCAATCACATGAGGCGAATATCACGGTTAGTGGTGTTTCTCGGGGGAGGCCAAGTTCATCTGGGGCCCAACTGAGTCGACTGGAGGTGAAACATTCAAAACACTGGTCAGCTAAAGGAAAAGAAAGACGTTTGTTCCATAAACAAGAAAAGCGGGAGCACACTTTACTGCTGTAGAGGGTGATTTCGTGCTGTGTGATGGACTGCTTCAAGAAATGGCACACGCGTCAGAGTGTAAACTGTGAAGTAATGCAGTCCAAACCGTGTACAGTCCAAACCAAATATTATTGTCTATAGTGTCGTCATATTTACATAACCACCATGATTCAAGGTTGAAGAAAAACAACAGGAATTTCATAACGTATATAATAATGATTATATTTTGCAATTCATGACAAAATACTCACAGTTGATTTTCATTTGTAAAACTTGCCCTTTTGTATATATGTAGAAAATTTTATTGTCTTCAGGTTCTTTTTAGTTAATATTCCGATGTTGCATAGAACGGAAAATATGCATCTTTTTCTGAAAGTTCGCAATGTTAAAGACTTAGGGCCATTTAAATTCCGGCCGTAGGGAGCTGCCGGCAATTTAAAAGTATGTACGTTAAAGGTTAATGACTATTTCTGGACAAACTGACAAAGGAAATTGTTTTAATCTAAACATTTTCAGAAGGCCTTCCTACATCTGTCAGTATTAAGTACAGAGGCATGCACTCATGACAGAACTTTATGTTTGATACTGGATGGCATAACACTTTATTTTTAGCTGTTATTAAACAGAAAAACAAGGAAAAAAGGCACATTTAGATACCTGTTCAAAATTGAGAATCCCCTTTTAGTAGGATAACCATTACATCTTTCTGGTTGGTAACTTGAGAAAAAGTTGTCAGCAGTATATGATTAAATATGGTATATAGACCTACAAGTATATAAAAATTGGTCTAATTGGTGAATATTATTCAAAAAAAATATAATTCTATACAAACATTTTATTAGGGCTGTGCCATGGCTCAAGCGGTTAGTCACTGGCTTTCCACCGCGGCGGCCCGGGTTCGATCCCGGGTCTGGTCAAGTGGGATTTGTGGTGGACAAAGTGGCGCTGGGGTAGGTTTTCTCCGAGTACTTCGGTTTCCCCTGCCAATCTTCATTCCACCAATTGCTCCACAATCACCCTCACCTATCATCTGGGGCTGGTACAATAGGCCAGAAGTGGCCACAGTACAAAGGACTTAGTCCCACCCCACCAGCAATAAATAAAATAAAAACATTTTATTACATTTTTATTGAAATCTGTTAAGAAGAATGGACCTCCTACATTTATGTTAAAATGAATATTTGTTGCCATGAAATATGAATATCACATAATGCAATATTTGTACTGCTCTACTAACTTGTCACAGGAGCCCACAAGCAGAGTCTGGCCTTCAAATGGATGCCACTGAAGTGTCTGCACCTTTTCTTCAAAAGATGATAAAGTAGAAGCAACCATCCCAGAGTTCAGATCCCATAACAGCACTGTCTGGTCTGCAGAACCACTCGCCATCACATGACTACAACAGAAATTTTCCAACACAACATTTCTCATTTTCCTCGTAACTCAGACTGAACAGTAAAATGCTGTGTGCATGCTCACATACAAGGGGGAAAAAAACGCTAATGAGAACACTAAGCTATGATCTGCAGTATGGCTACCCACCTTCAAACCACTGAGGGCTAAGCTGTACCTTAGGTAACTATCTGCTACATATACTATAAAAAATATACTTTTTTCCAGTGTACTTATATAAATGTAGGCTATGAAATGGCCAGATCTATGAAGAACAAGCACATGTATAAGAACTGGATCCACGAAGTTCAAGGGCATTTATTTAAACAAAATATTACTAGGTAGGTATTCAATTTTTTTTTCTGCTAAGATTTGATAGACTATATCAACATTGCATAAGCGGCCTCTGTAGTCTAGGGGTAACATTCCCACCTCATGACTCAAGGTACGTGGGTTCGAACCCAGCGGAGGTCATGCAATTTTTAAGGGCGGAAAAATTCAGGGAACAAGTCCTCCGGGAGGGACTTTAAGCCGTGGGTCCCATGTCATAGATTTACGGCACGTAAAAGATCCTCATGTCACTAGGAGACCTCTGAGCAAAATTAGGCAAAAAGTTTTCCACCCAAGTAGTTTCCAATGCCTCTGGTAGATGGGGGAAGTATTGGGTACCAAGGGCCGAACTCGTTGGCTGAACGGGGCTGATAGCACGCACCAGTACTGGTAGGGTATGGCGACTGGTAGAATATCAAAGGGGGACATACAATAGACTATTAGTCGTGGTGCATGGGGAAACCCACCCCCTCCAATAATAATAATAATAATAATAATAATAATAACAACAACAACAACAACAACATTGCATACGATCTTGGACTTTTCTTAGTCATTTGATGTCATGTGAAATCAAATAAAAAATTACACAAAATATTTACAAAGCAGTTTTTGTTGTTTTTCAACAAGATTTTCTGCTTTTTATTAAAGAGAAAGAAAGTATTGTGACGTATTTGAACTATGCAGGACACCCCCTCCACCGCCAGCGGTGATGTAACCACATCAGAGCGCTGCCGCTGCTACGGTAACAGGCCAGTCAACACTCCACCCCCCCTCCCCTGTGGTGACGTTAGAGCACTTCCCACTGTGACATAACATGGACCACCGCTGTAACATGAGGCAACAGGAAACGGTATAAAAGGCCGGCTGAGCAGTATGTGAGAGAGTATGTGATCAGGAGTGACACAGTGCGGATTGTAGCAGTCGCAGAGTTCAGTTGTAGTGAGTGAATCGTGAACATGACGAACAGACTTGTATAGCTTCTGTGTTATAAATATGTGAAGATTGCTGAAGAGATTTGTGAGTAGGGTTTGTAAAGTGTGTAAACCCGCAACCTTGTTATAAGTATTTGTAGTTATGATTTGTAGGTTGTTAAATAAACCAATTAACAATCTGAACGGCGACTTCAGTGGCAAAACATGTTACAGCATAAACACATATTTGGGTGAACAGAGATATTTTCATGGGGCAGCTAGATTGCTCTGATCTGCAACAAGGTCACAGGAATCTTTCTTTGGCCCAATAAATGTGGTTACATCAACACAGCTTGGTATATAACTAATCAGCTCTGATTCCAAACATGAACCCTTTGCAGTCCCATTTAAATATTACTAAAGTTCTCTGCTCATCTTATTTAAATTCCACTGATCAATTTAATTGCAGCTACTATCATGAACTGGTTTGTCTTTCTTTGTAACTTGCATGTAACGGGAAGGAACGTTGCTAAGTGGGATATACGCATAATAGTGCATAGCGCAAAAACTGGTGGCCACACTTGGAATAAAATGTACTATATAGTTGGGAACAGAAAAATTCAACTGTCATGAAACTGCAAATTTAAGTGTCATCATTCATTTGTCATTTTTTAAGTGTAGTCAAACAGAATCTTTCAAGTACTGCCAACCAGGTCGTGTCAAGAGAAAAAAGAAAATCAGACCTTATCAACAAATGTTAGAGAGCAATTTTCTTCCCAAACTTAATCTCTCATTAAAAAATGGCATACTTTTGGCATATCCTGGTCTCAGAGGCTGCCACTGTCAAGGTTAGCACTCTTATTGCCACGTTCGCTACAAGGCAATGCATGCAGAACTGTCGGAACAAAATGGTAATATCCACTGTTGCATATCTTCTTCCTGTTCCAGTGGCTGGGGTACATGGATTAAATAAGCCAAACAGGAGTAGCCAAAAAAGGTTCTGAAAACAAGCCAGAAGGAAGAAGTGTGAAGGCCCTGAATGACAGCCAGAAGATGCAGTGAATGACTTATAACAGCTGAGAGCGAAGATATGGTGGCAAAAGGCAAACAATAAAGAGGAATCATTATCTGTTGTCAAGGAGACTAAGGTTATTAGAGGATAACAGAGCCAATAAGCAAGTAAGTATACCTTCTTTCCACAAAAGCTGGCATTGAGTTTTGCTGCTACTACCTGGAAGCAGCTGCATAATAGTGGATACATTAGATACAGAGGAATGACTTGATGATGCATTCACTTACAACAGATCTTATGAATGTTATTATCTGCCACATACTTACGTAACATTGGTGTTCCAGGAGAGATCTAGTACAGCATCACGATGGCCACACCTAGCAATGCCTTTCTTTTTGTTAGCCCTATGTCCAAGCTCAAACACTGGTTCCAAGCAGCCCACAATATCAATATCCCACACCCCAATGACTGGTGACATGCTGCCCACTGCACACAGGTTTCCTGAAAGTCAGACCCAGTATTTATATATGTCCAAAACACAAATTTACAGCAAATCTCTTAATTACAATAATGTTCTGAATAAAGATGAATTTCAGCACTTTGCATAGTGGCTGTGCAATATGCATGACAGGCTTAAGGCTGATGGGAAGAGATGAGCCCATGACATGGCTCCAAGAGGTGTTGACATCACACCATTCAACTTTATCTTGTGGGGACATGGGAACACTGTGCTTGCTCAATTGAGTTGACAATTTTCAGGCTTTTCAGTTTAGCATGACAGCAGTGACACGAAGGCTGCTGACTAGAGTGGATACTGGGTAGCTTAAAGTGCTATGAGCTGAGACCACACAGAGTTGTACTGATTCATAATCAACTCACAAATGTTCTACATTGCCATCCTATACACACTGTTCTCTGTCCTTCATGTCAATAAGGACTGCATTAAGTTGCTGAACACCAACGTTTTCTTCATAGATACTTTGTATTACGCAGACTGCTCATAACAGTTCAACAGTTATTCACAGGAGACAATGTTTTAGGACAATAACAAGACATTATGATTTCAGGATCAAGCAAATTCTGCACTCAGAGAGACAGTACATGATTCCACACAAACTGCCATTTTTCAACTGTGTTGTCATATGTATCTTAGTGTACTTTTGCCCAAACCAGCCATAGCACATGCACATGGGTTTCAGAAGCCCCCCCCCAAAAAAAAAACGTGACTTGGAAGTGTTACAATAAAACAAATGTTTTCATGTGAATTACATTCACTTCATTCAAAGTTCTTGAAATGGAAATGTTAAATTAAAGCTCTACAATACTGTGACATGGCAGCTGAAAGACTGGAATACTGGAACCAGAAGAGATAGTCACTGTCAGGCAAAGGACGATAAACACGTTTCCATGGCAACAGACATGTGACACCACAATATGGACCTGTTGGAAATGGTGTTTTCTACTGGGTCCACCCCAAGGTTATACAGCTAGAGCATCCTGGCAGTTGCAGTTCAGAATGTGAGTTGGAGCCACGCGTTAGCTGAGAGACAGTCAGCAGCTGGTAATGGCATGAGCAGAAAAGAACCTTGTTGGTATCCATTACCAGGCAACAGATAGCAAAGAAAAACTGAGAGACTCAGTGCCTGCTATAATGAGAATTGTAAAGCCTGTAGATTAGTGATAGTGCTATAATTCTTCATACTTATGGTTTATAAGAGTTCAATAAATCCAACTGCAAATTCAAACACATGTCTAGTAAATAAGCATGCAACAATACTGTACATAAATTTTCATGTATCAGGAATACAAATATTTAACTCATCATAGGAGTACAGGGAAATATAGTCCATACAACTGAAGTAAAAGGTCAAAACAAATTGGAGATCTTCAAGGACTGCCTCAAACAAGATGATCAAATAAAATATGAAAGTAGAATCTTCCAGAAAGACAAAAACACGGGAAACATTCAGAAACACAGGAAAGTGGAATAAAACAACCAATGGATGCAAGGGGGCCTTAAAAGCAGACTGAAAAATCTGTTGTGAAACAAACTTCAACAATCGCAAGGATGAATATTTTAACATTCAACATACAGTTAAGTCCCCATTAGCTGGCATGTATAGAGAATGGGGTGGGCTGAAAACAAGAAGCTGCTGGTTGCATGAAGAAAACTCATACAGAAACCAAATATGAAGTCAAAACAATATGTTCTCATTTTAGTCTTGTGTGGCAGTCTGTCTAGGGTACAAGAGTAGATTGATGGAATAATTTCAGACGTACATAGTGTAATTCAGTCACAAATCCAACCTCTACTGTAATGGCATGAGCACCATGGACAATGATGGATAGTGCTATCAATGGCAACCAGGAAAACTACTGCATGGCAGGTAAAAATATGTGCATAAAAAATTTGTTTCTGAATAACTGAAAAAAAAAGGTAAATTATCTTTGAAATGCCATGCCATGCCATGGTGGAAGGGACCCATCTAACATGGTTAAACTGTAAATAAATAAATAAAAATTAAATGCAACTTATTTTCACAGTAAAATATTGTAGCCACTGACATTTAAATGTGAAAATAAGTTGCATTTCATTTTTATTTACTTATTTAGAGTTTAACCATGTTAGATGGGTCCCTTCCACCATGGCATGGCATGTCGTCAGGTTGTGCATGGAGGAGACAACCTCTAGATTATGGATGGTAGCTGCAAACATATAGTATAAGCAGTTGCAGACAGCCGACAAGGAGTGGTCCTCCAGTTTGTGGGTTGGGCATGGGGCCAAATTCAATGGGAGTACAAGAGATCAGATGGGACATAGGTGGCACCGATCCAGCAGGCAAATGTACATTTTTCTATGGAAGAGGAATGAGAATCATTAATTAGGTAGAGGTGTTCCTGTACATAAGATAAGCATACCAGCAGTTAAGAGGAAAGAGTCTGTTGGTAACAGGATGTCATACATAATACTGTGACGTCACTTGCGAGACCACAGAGTTCATGTGACCCCTACTTCCCATTGCGCCATCCGCTGGTATGATACTGTTCTGAACGTTCACACCACAACAGAAGATAAAACTGATGATATGGACAGCTACCATGAGGAACCAGAATGTGTTCGACAAATTCCATAAATACCACATGAAAATTTTGTTAGATTTTGATGCCAAAGTAGTTAGAGAAGACATTTTCAAACCAATAATTGGGACTGAGAGTTTGCACAACGTTAATAATGTTAACAAAGCTAGAGTAGTAAACTTTGCCACATCAAAATTGGTCTGTGTATGTAGATAATATATAGATGTAATTACTGGGTATCATCAGTAGGGGGTTTCAATGTAACAGATCAACTACTGATCAGATCTTTTGCATTTGTCATATACTGGAGAAAAAATGGGAGTACTAATAGACAGTACATCAGCTATTCGTAGACGTCAAAGAAAGCGTATGAATCAGTTAGCAGGGAAGTACTGTACAAAGTTCTCACAGAGTTTGGGGTACCTATGAAACTAGTTAGGCTGATTAAAATGTGTTTAAATGGAACATACAGTAAGGTCCATACTTAGCTCAAGTGGTTAGTCGCTGGCTTCCCACTGCAGCGGCCTGGGTTCGATCCCAGGTGTGTTCAAGTGGGATTTGTGGTGGACAAAGTGGTGCTGGGGCAGGTTTTCCCCAAGTACTTCAGTTTCCCCCGCCAATCTTCATTCCACCAATTGCTCCACCATCACCCTCACCTATCATCTGGGGCTGATACAATATGCCAGAAGTGGCGGCAGTACACGGGACTTAGTCCCACCCCACTAGCATTAAAAAAAAAAAAAGGTCCACACTGGTGAACATTTGTCTGATAATTTTCCTATCCAGAAGGGTCCAAATCAAGGAGATGCTTTATCACCACTGATTTTCAACTTTGCTTTTGAATATGCCATTAGGAAGGTACAGGAAAACCAGGTGGTACTGAAATTAAACAGAACACATCACCTGCTGGTCTATGCTGATGATGTGAATCTACTGGGTGACAACATAGATCCAATAAAGAAAAACACAAAAACTTTTAATTGATGCTAGTAAGGTTTGTCTAGAAGTAAACACAGAGACAATTAAGTACATGTTGCTGTCTCACCACCAGAATGCATGGCAAAATCATGTCATAAAGACAGTTAACAGATGCTTTGAAAATGTGGAACAGTTCAAATATTTTGGAACAACAGTAACAAATCAAAATTTGATTCAAGAGGAAATTAAGAGGAGACTGAACTCGGGTAATGCTTGCTACCATTCACTCCAGAACCTTTTGTATTCTCATCTGCTGTCTAAAGACATAAAATTAAAATACTGTGACATGTTGTGCAATGGTAATAGGCAGGTCAACATCCTCCCCCCCCCGCCAGCGGTGACGCGCCGAGCGGAGCCAAAGTTAGCCGAGTCCCAGCATCCTGGTAGGTATGCAACGCGAGTCAACAGCGGTGACGTCACGAAGGGATGCGACGGTTGCTAGGCAGCAGTAAACAACTCCAGACAGCGTTGCTAGCAACATGGCACCAGACAACAATGGTGCCTATTACGTGGCTGTTTCTTGAGTTGTCCAGAACGAGGCTACATAAGGGATAGCGAAGGCTATTCAGAGTTAGTTAAAGTGTATCAGCGGCCGAAGACAGTTCTCAGTCCTCGAGCTACCTCTGAGTTAGTTCCGAGTTATCAGCGATTAGTTCTGAGCAAGCCTACGAGCAAGTGTGTTATCAACAGTTCTCAAGGCAGCAGCCTGCGAGTTGAGTTGAAATCTAGCCAGCGGAGAGTTACGAGTTGAATTGAATTGTAGTAGTCACCGAGTTTAGTTGTAACGAGTGAATCGTGACAGTGTGAAGAGATTTGTGTGTAGGGTTTGTAAAGTGTGTAAACCCGTATCAGTGTTATAATTAATTGTAGCCAAGACTTGTAGGTTGTTAAATAAACCAATTAACAATCTCTACAGTGTATTCAGTAACAAGACACGTTACAATATATAAAACTATAATTTTATCTGTAGTTCTGTATGTGTGTGAAAATTGGTCTCTGACATTAAGGGAGGATCATAGACTGAGGGTGTTTGAGAACAGGGAGCTGAGGGGAATATTTGGACCAAAGAGAGATGAAGTGACAGGAGGTTGGAGAAAACTGCATGAGTTTTTTAATTTGTACTCTATAATTAGATTGATCAAGTCAGAATGGATAAGAAGCATGCAGCATTAATGGGGGCAAAGAGGAATGCATATAAGATATTGGTTGGAAAGCCAGAAGGGACCACTAGGAAGACCAAAAGGTAGGCGTGTGGATAATATTAAAATGGATCTTAAGAGAGGAAAGATGGGGCGGTATGGACTGCACTGATCTGATTCTGGATAGAAACCAGTGGAGGGTTCTCATGAACACAGTAATGAATCTTCAGGTTCCACAAAATGCTGCAATGTTCTCGAATAGCTGCACAACTGGTAGCTTCTCAGGAAGTGCTCAGCTTCATGAAGTTAGTCAGTTATTTATGGTTTAACAAACAGCACTGTCAATATCTCAGATAGTATACATTGTGGATTAGTAGGATGTCTAGTAACCAAGGATTTTGAAGGAATGTGTCAGCAAGCAGTCATGGTCTAATTTGAGATACTATCCCAGCATTTGCCTGGCAAGACTGGAGAAAACAACAGGAAACCTCAGTACGGATAGCTGGTGTCTGTAACAAGATTTGAATTGGGAACAAGAAATGCAAATGTACTCACCTGGCTTTTCCTCTCCTGGGTCATAATTCAACCATTCAATGCACAGTGGAAATGCCGGGAGCAGCAAGTCATGATGTACATATAAAGATCCCTCCTCTTCATTGTAGACTGCAACATAAAACAAACAAAAAACAAATTCCATGGTTTTAGTCTGCAAGCGAACTATACCGACCGAGTGATTGCCGCTTGTCAGCGGAGTTAGTGCCAAATTTAGCGGACAGAGGGTGTCGTGTGGTCAGTGCAACAAATCCCCATGGCCGTTAATTTCGGTTTTCTAGACCGGAGCCGCTATTCCCTTGAAATAGCTCCTCAATTATCCTCATGAGGCTGAGTGGACCCCATTCCAGACCCACTACTTCTAAGAAAACATCTGGTAGCACCGGGAATCGAACCCAGTCCTCTGGTTCTGTAGCCAGGAACTCTGACTACTAGACAACAGAGGTGGTCAACATAACACAAACATCTTAACTTATTGATGCAATCATTAATTCCTGCTGTGGTATTCCTAGAACATTTCACTGATCCACTGTCTCTTCTATTTGGCATATCTGGATTTGGTGCTCTACAGCACCAACAACTAACAATCTATTTTGGCAGATAAGTGTGGTGGATTTAAGCCCCACATAGAAAGCTTACATTGTCCTGGTATTTCTCCAGGCTGTGTGATGGTTCTGTAAATGATTTTGATGTTTCTCAGAATATACCAGGACCATTGTTACTTACATGTTAACAGTACACTTACAAGATATTGTAGCATGTATACCTCTTGCTAAGTAATGACTCTGTAAATAACGCCCGTTGCTAGCCAACAAATTCCTAACATGCACCAATGGACTAATTAGAAAGCGGTCCCTCTGACAGCTTTGTGATGCAACCATAGAAGAGTTGTAAGTTTTGAGGTTTTCACGGCGATGACTATGAAGAAAGTCATCTTCTGGGTTTAGGCGCCGTGTATTCTTCGTTTTGGCCGACGTTTCGGAGGAACGTATCGCCTCCATCTTCAGAGCAGGTGAATGGCTTGGAATGCAGAGAGCAGTAGCTGTAGTGATAGGAAGTGAAAGGCCCTGCTTATATACGAAGTAGGCAGGGGGGGTGGTTAGGGAGAACGGACCAATAGGAGCAGTAGAGAGTGATTAAGGCCATATATGGTGTTGTGTGCTAAGGGAGGGGGGGGAACGGCCAGTGGATCCAGGAAACTTGAGTTCAATAGCACTAGGAAGTTGCGGTAGACAAGAAGAACTGGTTGGTTGGGGACAGGCTACTGATGTCAATGACATGACGAAGAACTAGCCACCCCAGTTCTTCGTCATGTCATTGACATCAGTAGCCTGTCCCCAACCAACCGGTTCTTCTTGTCTACCGCAACTTCCTAGTGCTATTGAACTCAAGTTTCCTGGATCCAGTGGCCGTTCCCCCCCCCTCCCTTAGCACACAACACCATATATGGCCTTAATCGCTCTCCACTGCTCCTGTTGGTCCGTTCTCCCGTTCTTCGTATATAAGCAGCGCCTTTCACTTCCTATCACTACAGCTACTGCTCTCTGCATTCCAAGCCATTCACCTGCTCTGAAGATGGAGGCGATACGTTCCTCCGAAACGTCGGCCAAAACGAAGAATACACGGCGCCTAAACCCAGAAGATAACTTTCTTAATAGAAGAGTTGTTGGGAGAGGTGTTTTCTGTGCAGTCCATACCAAGGTGTTATAAGCACGACAAGTCTAGAGTTTAGTTAGAAGTGGAACAGTTGGTAGCCGGTAAGAACGTGAGTACTGTATAAATGCTCAATAAATGCAATTACCAATCCAAACCCCATCTACAGTCACTCAGTCACTGATACATGTACTTCATTGTGCAGAGAGAAAACTTACTTTAATGTGTGTGCGTGTGTGTGTGGTAGAACTTCAATGAACCACATGTATGTATATTTACCTTTATTGTACATAATGAATATGTACTCACCGTACACTTCCAAAATGCTAGTATCAGCTTCTACATGACCTACAAGGATCAAATTATCTTTAGGGTTAATCATATCATCTTCCTTTTCACTGTCATCATCTTCACTTCCATCTAATGTCACATATGGGTCACCATGACCACTAGAATATAGAGCTAGATCACCAATAAATAACCCTGCATTTGGTTTGGTATCTTCATCATCATACTGATCAAAATGGTATTCATCAAATGCATCACTGATTGGATTTTTCTGTGTTCCTTTATTTCCACTGTCATCTTCTTCCACAGTCCTATGAAAGAGAAAATTTTCATCATTCTCACTACATGATGATACACACATATATCATATTTACTTTAACAATGTTTCCCCTCCTCCAAATTCAGTCATAAGCTTGGAAGCTTAAATATCTTACAAATTCTAGCATAATTTTTTTTTCAGTTATTTTTATAAAGTGTTAACTTAGGTGATGGGGACTGGCAAAAATCCTGTTCTCCCAAAACTATCTGCTTTCAAGGTTATATTGTTCAAAATTTTCCACTTCATGAAACTCAGGATGGCAAAACACACCAAGAGGAAATGGAACATCATTCCAAAGGGGGCTGGGATGACAGAGGAGGTGACACCCTTACATTATTAGATGACATACATAAATTACATGAACAATGTTTCAGAAGAACTGGACATATACTGGTACATAAGATTGGTCATTCTTCAGACCCACGAATTTTCTTTTACAATTCTACATTTTACAAACAATCTCCCATTTCTCACATATGTATGTGCCCCCCCAAAACCACAAATTATTTTCATTCTCTTCCATGTATCTTGTTTACTTTGCAGTGTATAAATATTACTGCATAACTAGCAAACAATTTTTAAACATTTTTATCACAAAACAACCATGAAGATACTGGAAAAACATTAACCTAAATAAGTTACTACTCTTAACTCCAATCATTCAACACTCACTCAAGGAGCTGCGCCCTTCTTGAGAAGCTGCAAACTGTGCAGCCACTCAAGAACTTCCCAAAATTTTATGGAACCCGCAGGTATATTACCGTGTTCACAAGAGTCCTCCAATTGTCCCTATCCTGGGCCAGATCAATCCAATCCATACCATCCTATCTATTCTAATATTGTCTGTCCACCTATGTCCTGGTCTTCCCATTGGTCTCTTTCCTTCTGGGTTTCCCATCAATATCCTCTATACAGTCCTCTTCCCCCCATTTGTGCTACATGCCCTTCCCATCTCATCCTCCTTGACTTGATCATTCTAATTATACTTGGCAAAGAGTAGAAGTTATGAAGCTCCTCATTATGCAGTTTTCTCCAACCTCCTGTCACTTCATCTCTCTTCGGTCCAAATATTCTCAATACCCTGTTCTCGAACACCCTCAGTCTATGTTCCTCCCTTAATGTCACAGAAAAAGTTTCATACCAATACAGAACCACAGGCAAAATTATAGTTTGGATATTCTAATTTTTACGTTTTTAGACAGCAGACAAGAAAACAAAAGGTTCTGGAGTGAATGGTAGCAAGCATTAGCTGAGTTCAATCTCCTCTTAATTTCTTCCTGAAGCAGGTTTAAATTTGTTACAGCTGTTCCCAAATATATGAACCATGCCACATTTACAAAACATCTGTTACCTATCTTTATGTCATTATTTTGCCCTGCATTTTGGTGATGAGACAGTAACATATACTTCGTTTTCACTGTGTTTACTTCTAGACCAACCTCCTTACTAGCATCAATTAAAAGTTTGTGTGTTTCTCTTTATGGAATCTATATAATCGCTCAGTAGATTCACACCATCAGCATAGACCAACAGCTGATGTGTCCCATTTAATTTCAGTCCCATCTGGTTTTCTTGGACCTTCCTAATGGCATATTCTAAAACAAAGCTGAAAACAATTTTTAGGACTTGTGACTTGTAAATTACAAGTGGCTTTTGAGGTTCAGAGAAGAGTTGATATGGCAGATATTCAATGGATAACTGGGCAGAAAGAACACACACATTTCCTCAAACTTTTCAAAACGTTTACTGCAAACCACTAAAACAAGAAACATCCTATTTTAGGATATTCATAAACAGGAATATAGTATTCAATAATCTTGTCTAAAATTTGTGAGGGTGATGTGTATAGGTAAACAAAATTATTATTCTGGAAAATGTCCACCATCTTGAGTTTCTTCAAACACAATGTTTTGAAACTGTTTTCATTACCAGATAATTTAAAAAAAATTTCAAGAATCAATACATGAAAGAGAAGTTTATCTCACACACCAATTTCTTCACTGAAATTACAATTTAAAACAATGGCCTCTTTTTCATAAAGAACTAAGGTGTACTTCCATATTTAAGTGAATGGAAGCCAGTTCAAAATGTAAGAAACATATTTGCACACACAAAGAAACATCATGAATTACTTTCATATTAGTCAATCAAAGGACTCAGATGATGTGTAACACTAGGGATTACTGACTTTTTGGACTTTGTGCACCTGAAGGTATTCTAAAGAACACAATACTATGGAAACTGGATCCATTTCCATCCTCAGAAGAACTCTAACCACCCTCTTTTTTGTCTTCTTCCTCCCACTCACTCCTTGTCCATAGCTGAGCACCACGTGATCTTAAAACGTCGAAAATATTGGGAGTGATGTGAGGACAGAAAAAGGGATAATGTTCAAGATGTGGGCATGAGGATTCTACTCAGGACTTAACAGGCCTTGATCCAAAGAGAGGGTTCACTGAAGAAGTCACTGGACCACACATTCTACTAGTCAAAACGAGGGACTTACTTTATTGTCATCTACACTACACAATGTTACACAAACCAGTCTTTTTAGTCCGATATTTAGTTACAACACTGACATACACTTCTGGATGCAGGACTCTGGTACAAAACTGTAATGTTCACAACTAGCCAAAAATACCCAGGGCCATCCAAAATCAGCCTTTAAATACTCTTGAATGACATAATACTTCCAGTGCCTTCTATATCTAGATCTTCTCCGAACCCTCCACACCATTCAACAGATTGAGATTGTTCTGGAAGTTTCTTTAGTTTGGCTCAGATAGGATTAACTGATACACATATCACGCTGGCTATCATGGGACTGTCTGAAGCTGCAGTAGCCCTTATCTAAACACTCTTTGCTACAAATTCTCAGAACAGCTACAGCAAAACTGTTGTATAGGTCATCTTTAGGATAAAAATGGTATTAAGTTCTAAGTATTAATGAAACTGAAATTTGTATTGTGGCTGGCAATATTTAAGAATGACGTCGGTAGGTAATGATCGGTTACAGTACATCCAGTGATTAATGGACCCAACAGAGTAGGCACCTCCCACTCTTTCGAGGATAAAACATGTTCTTCAGAATACTGGATGACGGACAAGTCCCAAAAACTCAGCAATCCAGAGTAGTTTTATACTGTCACTACAAACATGGAAAACAAAATAAGAATCTGAAAACATGTTATACACAACATTTATTTAGTTTATTTCTGGAAATCACTAATTTTATTCAGATTCACCAGTCTAACCCTGTTCAGCACTACTACTGTTTGTCTCAGATTCAATGTCTTCACAATTCCCACCATTTTTCTCACATTCACTGTCAACATTTCAAACTTTTCTTCATCTTCCAAGAAAATATTACTGTCTTATCCAGCTACTGCGTTCGATTAACAAATGTCTCGACTATAATTTCTAATACGATAAATGATACAAATTCCGTCCCAAGTGCAAACGATATATATTATATGTCTTTGATCTTGTTCTTTCTACACTACATGTTTCGGCCTCTATCGGCCATCATCAGGTGTATACTCTTAACGTTGCTGCCACACTGAACCCGGTCTAAAATTTAACATTTAAAAACACAATGTCACATTCTTCGTATTATCAACATCTATATCGTTGATATGTGTCTGGTATGCAGATTATGTTGCACACGTCCAATTTTGATGTTCTTGTAGTAGCACTTTAAAAATCTTTAGTTATGATGTTTTTAAAAACTTTTTAAAATTTTTCCCTAAATTTAAAATTTAAAATTTAAAATTCTTAGGGTTACACGCCCTATGTCTAAGTGCTTGAGCGGCTAGTTCTTGTTTTCACACTGTACAGGTGTTATTTAATGTAGTCTTCTTGTGTGGGTGCCGCTGCTTGTCTGTACTACGTGTAAGAATTTTAAATTTTAAATTTTAAATTTAGGGAAAAATTTTAAAAAGTTTTTAAAAACATCATAACTAAAGATTTTTAAAGTGCTACTACAAGAACATCAAAATTGGACGTGTGCAACATAATCTACATACCAGACACATATCAACGATGTAGATGTTGATAATACGAAGAATGTGACATTGTGTTTTTAAATGTTAAATTTTAGACCGGGTTCAGTGTGGCAGCAACGTTAAGAGTATACACCTGATGATGGCCGATAGAGGCCGAAACATGTAGTGTAGAAAGAACAAGATCAAAGACATATAATATATATCGTTTGCACTTGGGACGGAATTTGTATCATTTATCGTATAGAGTGCAACAGGATGCTTAAATATAAGATTATAATTTCTAAATAGATCTGTTGTCATGGTCCTCAACCACTGGCACAGAAGTACTGATAGGGCTACTTTATTTACCCATTTTGCGTCAGAACATGGTCTCCTGCCAAGAATGATTTAGAATTCAATTGTGTCAAATGATATGTAAATGGTTTACTCATGTAACCGTATGTCCCTTGCCAAAATTATTTAATTAAGGGCATGATTTCACACCATGAGACACGCTCCTCCAGTGAGATACCATCCCGGGGCTGTCTAGTTGTAATTCAACTACTGTCTTCCTTAGGCTTAGGGTGTCACTACTGTCTCTAATGTCGCCAGTTTGCTCCTAGTGTCATACACCCATGAATTGACATTGTGCGAGACCGGCCAGGAGGGGCCTTGTGTTCCCTGCTCCTGTGCCCTGAAGACCTAAAAAAGTTTATGATGGGCCTCTCAAAAAATACGAATGTAGGACAGATGCCGGGCTCGACCCTTGGCTTTCTCTTTTTATTTTCTTGTTTTTTATGCCAACTGGGGTACTTGTAAAAAGAGGGCAGTTGTTTACAGGGAGCTGGGGGCAAAATGGTGGAAAAGGTTAAGTGTGATGGAACAGCTAGCTTGGAGGAATAATATAAAGATTGATTACTGTATGAAATTTTAAATTAAGACTGCAATACATAGTGTGTTTTGGATACCCTGGATTCATGAACCCCAAAGTGTGTTCCACTCCCATATC